CCTCTCATTCTCCATCCTCTGTGGAGAATCATCTTTGGACAGAACCATCAAGAACAGCAATTTGACCTTGGGTCTCTACTTCCTATTGTCTCACCTCAGACAGAGCAAGGTGTGAGGGGCAGGCATGAGGGATGTATGGGTATGCCCATGAGGGTATTTTAGCTGGGGGCGTTATAACCTCAAATAAATAAATCATTTATCGTCAGGAAGTGCCAGGTTATCTCATTGGTACTTTTGCTGGTCTAGCCGGGCTTTCCTCAGAAGGAAAGGATGTCTTGGCAGATGCTGACAACTTATTCTTGAAGGTTTAAAGATGCCACTGAGGCTCCTGATGTGTCAGGTGGGCTTACCTCTGGGGGATGTGGGCTCTGGGTGACAGACAGCATGCAGTGAAGGTTGGGCGGATTTACACCAGTAGAAAAGAAACACACACCCCAAAGTGGATTTTGGTAGCTTTGTTTTCCTCTTTTCTGTTTGCAATACCCCCCCCCCCCCTTTATTTTTTCTGAATGAATAGTTTCAGGCAGAGGTTTTCTTTCCAGCCTGGTCCCACGGCCGCTTTGCCCCAAACAAATACTCGGAGACTTGTTATAAAACTGTTGGCTGGTGCCTAGGGCTTCTTATTGGCTAGCTCTGTCTTAATTATTAACCCATTTCTATTAATCTATGTATTTCCACGTGGTCTTGGCTTACCAGAGAATGCTCTGACCCGTTACTCTTCTGATGGCCTACATGGCAACTGCTCTCTGCCTACACGTCCCAGAGTTCTCCTTGTCTTCTAGTCCTGCCTATCTTCCTGCCTCATTGGCCAACAGTATTTTATTTATCAGCCAATAAGAGAAACATATATACAGAAGGACAACCCCCATTAATAGTTGATTTGAAAAACTCAATAATAGAGTCAGGTATGATTGGCAGGCCTTTAATCTTAACACTCAGAGGCAGAGACAAGCCTGCCTCTGAGTTTGAGGCCAGCAGATGGAATTCCAGCTTAGCCAGAGCTATATAGAGAAGTCCCATGGGAGGGGGGCGTGGGGGGGAGTGTATAAAAACACAAGAATAGCTCTGAAATCTTCTGGCATGAAAGCATGCTGAAGTGTAGAGAGAATGGTACAGAGGCAGAGGTACTCACCTAATTAGACCGCAGTCTAGACTGTTCTAGGAGCGTTGGGCTTTCTTTTTCTTTGTTTTCAGTCTGTAGCTAAGAGAGAAATGGATAAGCAGCTTCCCCTTATTGCAGACAAATAGTAAAGAAATTTGACAGTTTTAACATTAAAAAAAAAAAAAAACCTTGACAGGTTATTCAAATGTTCCAATTTTAAGTATTCAGGTCAAGATAATTTCTTCTTCTGACTTTTATGACCGATATGACAATTAATAGTTTTAGGACGATTTAAAGAAATATTAAGCTGGACGGTGGTGGTGCACACCTTTGATCTCAGCACTTGGGAGGCAGAGGCAGGAGGATCTCTGTGAGTTTGAGGCCAGCCTAATCACTTTAAAAATTGAATATGGCTCATTTAAATTTAATATTTAATTAAATTGATTGTTTGCTGACTAAAAACTTTAAAAGACCCTAAAGTTGCATCATCTCTCATGTGCTAGGCACTCAAAACCATGTGGCTGTCTATCCAGCTTAAGCTACTTAACACTAGACTTCCAGGGGGCTAGACCTAGGGAGATGGCTCAGAGGTTAAGAGCACTGACTGTTCTTCCAGAGATCCTGGGTTCAATTCCCAGCAACCACATGGTGCCTCACAACCATCTATAATGAGATCTGGTGCCCTCTTGCAGCCTGCAGGCATACATGCAGGCAGAACGTTGTATACATTATAAATAAAATCTTTTTATTTTTTTTAAGATTTTATTTATTTATTATATATACAACATTCTTTCATGCATTTTAGATGTTTTAAAAATGTAACAGATTAATTTATATAAATACTTAAAAAATGGTTTAACTTGTGTCTGAGTCCATTTGCTGTTTCTGAGTAGCCCAGATCTTTATAAAGCATACAACTGTTTTACTTAAGATTCTGGAGGATGGGATGTCTAAGAGACACTGGCGACTGACTGACTGTCAGGGCCGTCTTAAGCATAGTGACATGGCAAAGGACAGCATATGAGGAGAGAGATGCTTGCCCAGCATCTCTGAATGGAGACTTAGAGTTGGCTTATCTGCATAAAGTACCAGCTCCTCCCAAGTACTCTGGCACTACAGACCTTTGAGTTTAGAATTGTCATGGAATCCAGTTTACACACGAGGAACAGGGGACTGAGTTTGGCTTAGACTTGAGCACCGGTGGTCAGACTCTTTTGTCAGCTTCATACTTCAGCCATCTCAGCTTGTGGGTGTATTTGGCTGAGTGTAATTCCTGCAGGACCCTAATAGAAGGATGCTTCCTTCTGTGTGTTTATTTCAAAACAGTGATACCATTGGCTAAGAAGAACCTCTTCAAGGTTAGCCACAAACAAATGAACAAGGTCAAAAACGAATGCAAAAGAATCTACCAATGCAACCAAATCCAAACCCTTCCTTACTCATATGTCTGCAGGTGGTGGACTCTCCCTCTTTCTTTCCTTCTTCCTTTCTCTCTCTCTCTCTCTCTCTCTCTCTCTCTCTCTCCTCTCTCCTCTCTCTTCCTCTCTTTCCCTTCCTTTCTTCCTTTCCCTTCGCCTCCCCTTCCTTTCCTTTTTTTGGGGGGAGGGGGAGTTCAAGACAGGGTTTCTCTGTGTAGCTTTGGAGCCTGTCCTAGAATTCATCTGTAAACCAGGCTGGCCTGGAACTCACAGAGATCCGCCTGCCTCTGCCTCTTGAGTGCTGGGTTCAAAGGCGTGTGCCATCACCACAGGGATTCAGAGGACTTTTCAATAATGTGTCAGGTGATATGTTGCATAGGAATGAGATGATTAGAAAGACTGGAGGCAAGCTTCCTAGGCCATGGTTAGTGCTCCTACTAGATGCTCCTTATCAGAGGTTCCAGCCCAGGATCCCCTCACCCCCAAGCCCTCGTCAACACCTGGTGTGTAGCTCCAGAAAGCAAGCTTACTCATGTTGTTCCTCAGCTTGCTACTTCCTTTTTTTTTTTTTTTAAGATTTTATTTATTTATTATGTAAACAACATTCTGCTTCCATGCATGTCTGCACACCAGAAGAGAGCACCAGATCTCATAACGGATGGTTGTGAGCCACCATGTGGTTGCTGGGAATTGAACTCAGGACCTCTGGAAGAGCAGCCAGTGCTCTTAACCTCTGAGCCATCTCTCCAGCCCCAGCTGGCTACTCTCTTTCATGACTATCTTCACCCCACATACATGGCTCTTTGCCTCACCTATTCCTAAGGCTGGGACACATAGGAGTGTCATCCGAATCATGGCAAACCAGAACCTGTGCTGGACACCCCCTTTGTCTCCGCTTCCACTCAGGCTACTCACTCTTATTCATTTCCCGACAATAACTTTCTTCAGAAAGGAAGTTCCATTTAGTTTCTTTGCCTGGGTTGGTGTCTGCCTCTGCACGCGGTCAGTAAGTCTGATGGTTTGCTGCTGATTTCCAGGTTCCTCGAGACAAGCGACTTCTGTCTGTGAGCAAAGCAAGCGACAGCCAAGAAGACCAAGAAAAAAGGTATGGTACATGTAAGGAAATATGTTTGCCCCCTAGAAATAACTTCTTTTTCTGTGTGTTTTGACAAAGAAAGCCAGGCACAATGGTGCATGCCTTTGATCCCAGTGCTTGGGAAGCAGAGGCTGGGGGGTTTGTCCAAGACAGCCAGGGCGATATAGAGAGACTGTTTTAAAAAATGGTCTGTAGAGAGGCTCCATGAGCACTTTTGCTTCTCTTGGTCAGGACCTAGGTTTGATTCCCAGCACCCATATCTTCCTAACTCCAGTTTCAGGGGATCTGTTACCCTCTTGATCTTGTAGTTTTGTTTGTTTGTTTTTGTTTTTGTTTTTTTTGGTTTATCGAGACAGGGTTTCTCTGTGGCTTTGGAGGCTGTCCTGGAACTAGCTCTTGTAGACCAGGCTGGTCTCAGAGAGATCAGCAGAGATCTGCCTGCCTCTGCCTCCCAAGTGCTGGGATTAAAGTCATGCGCCACCACTGCCTGGCTTTGATCTTGTAGTTACATGTAGGCAAAAACATTCAAAAACATAAAATTAAATTAAGCAGGACAATGGTGGCACTCACCTTTAATCCCAGAACTCCAGCATTCGGGAGGCAGAGGCAGGTGGATCTCTGTGAGTTGGAGTCCAGCCTGGTCTCCAGAGCCAGGTCCAGGACAGGCTCCAAGGCTACACAGAGAAACCCTGTCCTGAAAAACCAAATAAACAAACCAAAACAAGTAAAAATTAAATTAAAACTATAACTTGAGCTGCTTTTCAGAAGAGGTAGGGTTTGAAAGCCTTTTTCTTCTTTTGTCTTTTGGAAGTCTGGACCAAAACTTGGTCTCTTGGCAGGAAAAGGCACATTTTTGCCTTTGTGTGAGGGTCATCAGCAAGTTCCCTCAGATGACGAGGAGGCTCAGGAGCTTGAGGTGACTGCTGTAAGAGCCTGCTGCTGGATGCAGATGTCTGCTCAGTCCCAAGCTCATTCCTGCAGCCTGGCCCTTAGGGAATGAGACTCTTCATGGATTCCTCTTGGTGAGGAAAAAGCAGATAAAAAGCCCAGGGACATAGCTCTTGGAAACTCTTGGGTGGCTGCCAGCCCCATCCAGATGTCATCCGGCGGAGCTAAGGAGCTGGGTGGCCAGGAGATGTGTGCCCAACGTGTGCATCTTACAGTGATATTTTCCAAAAGATGCCATTCCTTTTGTCATCTTGCTTCTGCTGAGGCCAAAGAGGAACCTATGAATTTTTTTTTTTTTTTTTTTTTTTTTACTAACAATTCAAATATATTTATAGGGCTCTGTACCTTGCTTATTTACTTGGAAATAAGAACACTGAAAGATTAAAAATGCATGTCTTTGTAATAAGTAGAGAATAAAGAAACGTGGTCTGAACTAGACTAAACAGAATTTGAACATTTTGGCAAGGCCAGAAGTACTGTCTGTAAAGGACCCCGTGTGGCTCTCGGGTTATTGCCATGCTTCCCCGTCTGTGTAGAAGAAACCATCCGCAGTCAGCCTGCATGCAGTGTGTTATCCACAAATGTTGATGGTCCTGGAAGAAGTGGGTTGGTGAAGTCCTATATTACAGCCAGAGATGAAGGAACGCCCAAGGGTGTTCACTGTGTGTGTCTTGCTTGGAACCTCTCAGGTGGTCTTGTTGTGGCAACACAGTTTTTTTTCCTGTTTACTTTTTAACACTGATTTTTTTTCTCCTCTTTTTTTTAAAAATTTAAATTAGAATTAACACTGATTTTATAATGGATTCATTCCTCTTTGGATGGAGCCTGTATTAATTAACATTCCATGAAGTTTTGGGGACAGGGGCTTTATGAAATGTTCGTGCAAATGGGTGGTCTGAATTTTGGCATCATTTAGATCATCAGAATCACATTAAACAAAATGTCTAAATCTTCACTGTGTCTTCTATGTGACCTACTCTGTTATCTGATCACGAGAACAGCCTATTGTCTATTATTATGTTTGTAGACCTATAGACTTTATTCTTTTTTTTTTTTTTTCTTTTTCTTTTTGGTTTTTTGAGACAGGGTTTCTCTGTGGCTTTGGAGGCTGTCCTGGAACTAGCTCTTGTAGACCAGGCTGGTTTCAAACTCACGGAGACCCCCCTGCCTCTCTGACTCCCGAGTGCTAGGATTAAAGGACAGCAACCATAGGTTTTTGCTATTTTCCCTGATATCTCCCATGTTCTCCCCAAACACATTAAAAATCCACTGTTAAGGTCCAAATGATATCATATATCATCTACCCACCATGGTTGGATGTTCAGATTTTATTTATTTATTTATTTAAGACAGTGTTTCTTGGCTGGGTGATGGTGGCACACACCTTTAGTCCCAGCACTTGGGAGGCAGAGGCAGGGGGATCTCTGTGAGGTTGACACCAACCTCATCTACAAAAGCGAGTTCCAGGACAGGCTCCAAAACCACAGAGAAACCCTGTCTTGAAAAACCAAAAAGACAGTGTTTCACTGTGTAACTCTGGGTGGCCTGGAACTTGCAGGCTGGCCTTGAACTGAGAGATCTCCTGCCTCTGCCTCCTGAGTACTGGTATTAATGGCCTGAAGCCAACATGCAGGGCTGCTGAAGGTAGGGTTTTTTTTTTTTTTTAAGATTTATTTATTTATTTATTATGCATACAATAATCTGCCCCCATATATGCCTACACACCAGAAGAGTGCACCAGATCTCATAGATGGTTGTGAGCCACCATGTGGTTGCTGGGAATTGAACTCAGGACCTCTGGAAGAACAACAGTCAGTGCTCTTAACCTCTGAGCCATTTCTCCAGCTTCACTCTTCTGTTTCTACAGAGCTGGAAGTTAGATGTCAAGACACGGTGAGATTTAGGGCAACCTTTAACCCCCCCCCTTATTTTAGAGCGATGTGTGTGTTTTATGGAAGGCTGAGACCTCACTCTTTGCATCATCACCCAGGGGCACACAGACTTAGCTGTCTTCGTTGTAGTGACCCAGAGCTCCACGACACCCCATTGTGAATGAGCCTCCTATCAGCTCCTCCCTTCACGGTTTAGCAGGATGGCTGCCTGCGAGGGTGGTTGTTGCATCAGGTCTTTGAAGCGGAGGTTGCCTCTAATTCTATCATGTCTCGGGTCTGGGCACACAGAAACTGTCTCAGCACCGGTGAAGCCCACAGCACTTTGGTCGGAGGCGAGAACCGAGTGCAGGTCCTGAAGACCGTCCCGGTGAACCTCTGCCTCAGCCAGGACCACGTGGAGACCTCGAAGCGCGAGCAGTACAGCGTGTCCATCACCGAGAGCCCCGCCGTCATCCCCGTGTCGGGCATCACCGTGGTGAAAGCCGAGGACTTCACGCCGGTGTTCATGGGGCCCCCGGTGCACTATCCCCGCGCCGACGGCGAGGAGCAGCGCGTCGTTATCTTCGAGCAGACTCAGTATGACCTGCCCTCCATAGCCAGCCACAGCTCCTATCTCAAGGACGACCAGCGCAGCACCCCCGACAGCACCTACAGTGAGAGCTTCAAAGAGGGGGCCGCGGAGGTGAGTCCCAGGGCACGGCGCCCCCCTTTCCATTCCAGGGGTTGCATGAAATTGAGTTTATCTACACTTGTTATTACTATTTTTAATAATTTTATTTTATGTGCATTGGTGTTTTGTGTGCATGTATGTCTGTGAGGGTGTCAGGTATTGGAGTTACAGATAGGTGTGAGCTGACATGTAGGTTAAGGGCAGGCAGTGCTCTTAACCGCTGAACCATTTCTCCAGCCTCTCTCGTTTGTTGGTAATTTGGTGTGTTTTTAAATACGTGGAGGGATATTTCTGTCTTGTCTCTTGGGTCACACACACACACACACACACACAAGTATTATGGGCATCGGTGTTTTGCCTGCACGGATGTCCCTATGAGGGCGTCAGATCCCCTGGGACAGGAGTTGCAGACAGGTGTGAGCCGCCAGGGGACAGGAGTTGCAGACAGGTGTGAGCCGCCATGTAGTTGCTGGGAATTGAACTCAGGACCTCTGAAAGAGCAGCCAGTGCTCCTAACCGCTGAGCCATCTCTCCAGATCCTCTTGGGTCATATTTGGTTTTGGTTTAAGTCTTAAATATTTATGAGGGCTTAGGAGAAGCTTACGTGGAACTAATTGCTGTGCAGTTATCACCTTCATCTCCTTGGAACTTTCCAAACGCAGACGCTACACATGTTGCAAGCCTGATCTCTCTTTTTGAAAAAATGTAACCCTTTGCCGCTTTTGTCAGACTGAACAGCCAGAAATTAGTTACATTGTCAACAGAGCATTATGTTTATGTGTGTGTGTATACTTTGTAACAAATAGGTCAGTCTTCTCGGCCTCTAAAACTGCACAACACAACCAGTTTTGTTTATTTCCCTGTTTTAGACTCACAAGTTCTAAGTGCATAAAAGTAAATTGTAGTAATTGTTTTCAATTGGGTAGTCAATGTCAGCCACAATGTAGGAAGTTTTTACCCTAAAGTGAACCTTTTTGACCTGGAATCATTCTTTCTCCTGGCTCTTGGTAATCGCTAATCGGCCTCTGTCACTGTAGGGTCATTTCCTTTAAAAACTTCATGTAAGTTGAATGTAATATATTCTTCTATATTGTCTTCTTTCATTTAGCATATATTTGGATTTATTTATTTTTGCTTACATGAAGACAGTTTGTGTGTTTTAATCCTGATCAGTATCTCAAGGTGAGGGCATATCACAGTTTGTTGGCCAGTCCATTAGTTGGTGGGTATTTGGAGTTATCATGATTAATGCTTTGCCAGACAGACGAGTGTATATCTTAGCAAGTGTAGTCTTTCATTTCTTGTTGTTGTCTAGGTCTGGAGTTAACTGCTGGATTATGAGGTATATGTGTGTTTCATCAGGCGCATACATCCAATACAGCATTTATGAGTAATGAGCTTTCATTTCTATCAGTGGTGAAGGAGTATTCCTGTTCTCCACACCACATGCCAGTATAAGTAATCTGCTTAACTCCAGCTCTCTTAGTGATAATTCGGTAGTGTCCATTCCGTTTTCACTCTGCATTTCTATGATGTCTCCTGAGTCTGAGTATTGTTTTGTGAAATTGTTTGCCTTTTATCTTATGTGGAGTGTCTGTTCAAGTCCTTGGCAGTTTTTTTTTTTTTTAATTTTAAAGAGTTATTTAGGTAAAGGGAATGGATATAAGCCTTTATTGTCTATATGCTTTTAATCCCAGAGTCCTTGTATGATTATATAATCAGATCAAATTTATCTCACCAAATTTGTCTTATAGTTTGTGCTTTTAAATCTTAAGATGTCTTTTTCTAACACAGTGTCTCAACAATTTCCTCGTGTGTGTGTCTAAAACAGTGTCTCAACAATTTTCTTCTGTGTTTCTGAATAGCTAGTACTTTCCCCCTTAGATGTAGGTTTCTGATCCACTTAAAAAATAATTTTGCAGGGAGGTGGTGGCACATGCCTTTAATCCCAGCATTTGGGAAGCAAAGGCAGGCAAATCTCTGTGAGTTCAAGGCAAACCTGGTCTATAGAGCCAGTTCCAGACAGCCAAGGCTACACAGAGAAACCCTGTCTCAAAAAGCCAATCTATACATCTGTCTGTCTGTCTGTCTGTCTATCTAGTTCTCCCCCCCTCCAATGTACTTATTTATCTATCTGTCTTTTGGATACCGACTCTGTATAGCCCTTGCTGTCCCGGAACTCATTATGCAGACCAAACTGCCCTCAGACTCAAAATTATCTGTTTGTCTCTGCCTCTCAAGTGCTGGGACTAAATGTGTGCACTAATATGCCTCGCTCTAATTTTGCAATTATTACTGTTACTATCATTAGGTTTTCTGAGACAGGGTTTCTCTGTGTAATCCTGGCTGTCCTGGAACTCACTCTGTAGAGCAGGCTGGCTTGAAACCTAGAGATTCATCTGCCTCAGCCTCCCTGTACCCCAGCCCCGACGGGCCCAACTACTATTATTTTTGAGGTATGTGCATACATGTGTTCATTTACATATTTACGTGCAGATGGAGATCAGGAGACGACTTTCAAGGGTCACTTTTTCTTTCTACCACGTGGATCTTGGAGATTGAACTCGTATGGTTAGCCCTTACCAGCTGAGCTGTCTCTGGCCCACATTTGACATAGTATGAAGCAAGGCTCGGGGACCCTAGTC